TTAATTGTAAATGACACTTGATTACAACTCGATTTCCTAAAACATATTCACTAGACTGACGCAAAGAGAATACAGTTGAAGTACTCGACTAAGGTAAACAACTTATGATTCTTCAGTTGATGTGTAAAAGGGTAGATTCAGAAGTTTAAAGTCGATCATATTTAAACGCTTCAACTTGAAATCTTCTAGGAGTCCTATTTACAGTTAGCTTCCTCTTTTATAGAACTCCTACTGTTCCAAGGATTCCACAAGCTTTGGAACTTCTGTCTCTAACTGAATTATCCGTAACTTCTTGAGAAACAAACCTTATTGCATATAGCTGCCTTCTTCCACCAAACTCAGTCCTGGGTAACTTTGAAATAAAGTTATTGTCTTGTAAAGACATACAAGTATCAACATGAGGAGTTGGTCATTTATCCTGAGGAACTGGGTTTTTTAGAACACTTAAGCAACTAGGTTAAGGACTTGGTTCTTTGACCATTTAGTCATACTTTTTTAATCATCAAAACTTCAATACGCAACAAATTTCTCCTTTTTGATGATGACAAACTTTGTACACAACTGAACTAGGTAATCACATCAAAGAACTAGATAATCACAATAAGTGACAAGTAATATTGACAGACATGTATGTTCACAACCCACAACCTTCCAACCTTATCTTCCCACGTTTGGCATCATCAAAAACATATAAAATATGTTAGACAATAAGCACAAATAATGTAAGATTCAAGGCCAAACAGGCTACAGCAAAAGCTTAAGAAATATCAAGGCAAACAGACTAGGTTGAAGATCTAATATTGTACAAAGCAATAAAGTAGAACAAAATGAGATATTAAGTTGTATCAAAATAAGGCATGGGCTTTGTCGTAACCATTAGAACAAAATAAACTAAGCATACTGAAAACTACTCAGACTAAGACAAAAGATAAGGCGTCACTGGAATAGCAAAAGAAACTAAGGATACTAGGAAGGAACAAGTTCATGGGTGAGAAGTAGAGGGGGTCAAAGCTTTCACAAGGGTGGCAATCTGTTGAGCATGAGCCTCCCTATCTATTCTGAGCTCTTCCCTAAGTTGCCTTGTTTACTTTCTTAGCTCACCATTATCTTCACGAAGCTTGGCATATTCTTCAACAGCCAACTCCAACCTCTTACTAAGCTCTGCAACCCTACTGCTCCTAGGTAGAATAGCAAATCTTATGGGTCCTTTAGACTTGATCTCCTTATACCCACACTTCTTGAGGGTAACAGCATCCAAAACGTCATTGTGGTTTCCAAACTTTAGCTCAGGTAAGGCAATGCAGAGCTTGTCAAACAACTCAGTCAACATGAAACCATAAGGCATATCATGCTTAGGTTTGGAGGTGTCTGAAGCTCTTGCCATATGCTGAATTAGTAGGCTAGGAAGATTGATAGGTCTACCAGTGTCAAGAAGTTCCATCACAGCCATGTCCTGTATAGTAGCTTCATACCTTCTCTTAGACCTCTAAAGAATGCAGGAGTTTACAAAATGAAATAACAACTTATGGAAGGGAGTCATATCAGTCTTGTACACCTTCTGGGGAGCATCCAGTTCAAACTTTTGAGAAAACTTTCTTATGACCACAATGCCAGTGTCAACATCATTGTCTATGGCTTGCCACTTTTTCTTCAAATAATTATCAAATCCCAAAGAAGAGATATTCAGAAGCATTCCCAGCTCCTCAACATCAAACTCCATTTCAAATCCCCCTACCTTACTTTTGACTACCTTTCCATCAAAATTAAAATTTGCATAGAACTCCACCACAGTAGGAACACATACAGGAGGGAAAGCTTTGACAAACATGTGCTTCCACCCCTGAAGCTCAAGTTTTTCAACTAGTTGAGCCATCCCCTTCTCATCAGTGTTTGCAAAAATCTTCCCATTTAGCACTTTTCTGTTCCTGAACTTAGTGAGTCGATTAACTGCAGCTGGCACATTATTTCTTGTCTTTCCATTACTGGCCCTTTTAGAAGGGGTAGCAGATTTTGTAACTTTGGCAACTTTCTTCTTTGGTTTAGAGGACTTAGCTGGCAAGGCATATTCAGATTCATCTTCTCCATCTAGCTCAACGACAAGTTCCACAATTGAGACCTTCTCCCTTGGCTTCTTTGCACTTCTAGACTCCTTAATGACTTGTTCATCAATAACCTTTCTTTTACTCCTTGTAAGAGGAGTCCTGGCAGGTGGGACCACTCCTTTACTTGTTAAGACTGCTGACTTTGTGGCTTTCACAGGAGTCTTTCTGGGTTTCTTCCCTACCTCAGATAGTGGAAAATCATCTTCATCACTCCTAATATTTTCATCTCCAGTGAAAGGAGTCAGCAGAGACCCAGGTTCTAGAGCCCTTGTCTCTTCACTAGTTTCTTCTGAAAGGGCTATGACAGTGTTCCCAATGGTCATAGAGCCTTCAGATTCCTCACTCACATTCTCATTTTCTTCCTCACTCTTTTCATCAGCTCCTTCACTCTCACTTACCTTTTCATGATCCCCACCTTCACTCTCAAAATTGACCTCCTCTTCACTATGATTTTCTTCTTATGCAGAATCATTTGCTTGTCACCTATATTATCATCTGTATAACTTTCCTTCTCATCTCCATATGATCCCTCATTCTCACACTTTTCTTCTTCATTGGCTATGTTTTGATCATTATGATCCTCATGATTGTTCACAACTTTTTATTATTTTTCACCCCCATCATCATCCTCATCCTCAGTTCAACTAAATGAAAGGCCATCAGAAGCCTCATTTTGCACAGGTTCTTTACTTTCTTCCCTCTCAACCACATGCTCCACAACAGTGGTATCTACCTCCTTCCCCAGATCACCTACACCCTTTTTTCTACAGTGAATTTCTCTACTTGTGGCTTCTCACCCATAGGTGCGAGAGTATCTAGGGGTGTAGCGTCTATAGCAGACACCAAAATATCTAATATCGAAGAAGGATGTTGTACCTGATCAGTAATGACTGGCACTGATTCCCCATGAACCACAGATTCCTTGGCTACTGTATCTACCTGCGTAGCAGCATCAGGCACTTTATTGATAGATTTTCTTTGAGTGGCCTTGACCTTTGTTGACTTAGAGGTATTTTTTTTAGTAAGCTCAGGTGAATTGGTGGTTGGTTTTGGAAGTGGGGGTACAGTGGAGGAGGGGATGGAAAGAGCAGCAGGAACAGGAGATGATGATGTAGGTACAATGAAGGATATCGAAGGAGAAGGAGCAGGTGTGGGTGTGTGTTCCCTCAATGGCTTGGCACTTTTCTTTGATTTAGGATTCATGATTTTGGGTTTTGCTTCAGCCTTGGTTGATGATTTGGCTTTAGAGGGGGTTTGACTGGCTTTACGCATGGTGATCAGATAAGAGACTCGAAGAAGAGAGAGGGAGATTTAGTTCTTGATTCTTGCTTAGTGTTTGAGAGAAACAGTGACGTCTGAGAAGCTGATTATAAGGGACTTTTAAAAACATTACTCCTGATTTGACCGGAAGAAAGAAGGTGACCGAATTTGAGTTCTAACGGGACTCTTATAACAGTTACTTTGGATGTTAATATTTCACGAGTAATTGAACTCTAATTGCACTAGGATTCCCCTTTACTCTTTGACTAGAAGACGACTAGAAGTGATGCCAACGGAATTAGAAGTCTGACCATAGCAATAATTTTAGGATATTAATTCCTAGCAACTTAAGACAGTATGGCACGTACCTGAGTCAAAGAATCAACTCCTTTGAAATTCCTTATTTGTTTCTGCAATAAAGCTTCAGCACTTCATATTAGTATCATACACCACAGTTATCAGCCAGATTTTCCAAGCAAGTGTGTGAGCGTAATACAAGCACAAAGATGAATCAAACATATTGTACTTAGTTATCTATATCTAATTATGTCTTTTTATAGCCAATCACTGGATTCAACTAAGTGGTAAGAGTTGATTACACCTAGTTCTAGTCTATTTCTTTCAAAGTGATCCCTACTCAAAGCTTTAGTAAAATTATCAGCAATTTGATCTTCAGTTTTACAAAAGTTAATTGAGATATTCCCCTTTTCAATATTGTCTCTTAGAAAGTGATTTCTAATATCATTGTGCTTGGTTCTTTTGTGCTGACATGATGTTTATGGCACTGGTGTTATCACATAAAATGGGAACACAATCAACAAATATACCATAGTCCCTTAGTTGTTGTCTTATCCATAGCAACTAAGCACAGCAGGATGCTGCAGCCATATATTTAGTCTCAGTTGTAGATAAGGCCACTGAGTTTTTCTTATTGGTTCCCCAAGACACCATACAATAACCTAGAAAATGAATTGTTCCTGAAGTGTTTTTCCTGTCAACATGAAAACCTGCATCGTCAGCATCAGCATAACCAACTAGATCAAAGTTATACCCTCTGCGATACCATAGACAGAGGTCAGGGGTCTCCTTGAGATATCTTAGTATCCTTTTGACAGCCTTCAGGTGAGATTCTTTGGGATTTGCTTGAAATCTTGCACATAGTCCCATACTGAACACTATATCAAGCCTTCTTGTTGTGAGGTACAACATTGACCCAATCATTCCTCTATATAGTTTATGTTCCATATTTTTCCCTTCTTAATCAAGGTCTATCTTTGTTGCAGTTGCAATGGGAGTGTCAATGGACTTAGAGAAGTCCATGTTGAACTTCTTCAGTAGTTCTTTGATATATTTCTGCTGATGTATCATGGTTTCAGTATGTGTTTTCCTGATTTGCAACCCCAGAAAGAAGTTCAATTCACCCATCATGCTCATTTCAAACTCATTTCCCATCATCTCAGTAAATTCCTTGCACATTGCTTCATTGGTAGCCCCAAAGATAATGCCATCCACATACACTTGCATAATCATAATATTATTCCCTCTGCTCCTTAGAAATAGAGTGTTGTCCACCTTTCCTCTTACAAAGTTTTTGGCTAAGAGGAACTTTGAGAGCCTTTCATGCCAAGCTCTTGGAGCTTATTTCAGTCCATAAAGAGCTTTATCCAGTTTGAACACATAGTTAGGAAATTCTTCACTTTCAAATCCAGAAGGTTGTTTCACAAACACTTCCTCCTTCAAATAACCATTCAAAAAGGCACTCTTTACATCCATCTAATATATGGTGAACTCCATGTGGGCAGCAAAGGCTATCAGCATTCTTATAGCCTCTAGTACATGTGCAAACATCTCATCATAGTCAATGCCCTTCTCTTGATTGTATCCCTGAACCCCAAGTCTAGCCTTGTTCCTTGTGATATTTCCTTGTTCATCCAGCTTGTTTCTAAACACACATCTGGTACCTATGGCAGTTCTGTTCTTGGGTTTTTGCACCAATGCCAGACCTTGCTTCTCTCAAACTGATTTAGCTTCTCTTCCTTGGCTATGATATAGTATGGATCCTTTAGAGATTCTTTGATGGTCTTAGGTTCAAACTGTGAGAGAAATGTTGTGAGTGCACATACATTTCTAAGAGAAGACCTGGTCTGTACCCCTACATTTGGATCAGAGATGATATTATCAAGAGGATGTGAACTTTGATGCTTCCATGGTCTGATCTGTATAAGCAGAGAAGATTCACCTGATGAGTGACCCAAAGGAACATGTTCAATAGGTGTGGCTTCATTAGTCTGGTCAGTTGTTAGAGTAGTTTTTCTTTTTCTTGTTCCTTATAATCACTGTCAATTTCCTTGTGGTCTTCGAATCCATCTTCATGCTGAGGTTCAGATTCCTTTGTAACTCCATCACCAGTGAGTTCTATGTCATAATCTTCATCCTGCAAATGTTTCTCACCCAAATTGTTAGATTCATCAAATATAACATGAATATTTTCTTCTACACACATAGTTTTTTTATTAAAAATATTATAACCCAATAAAATTCTCTCATCACTTTTATCATCAAAGTTACCTAGAGCTTCTTTCCCATTATTATGCACAAAACATTTTCACCCAAAGGCTCTCAGGTGAGTGATGTTGGATTTTTTTCTTCTAAGTAACTCGTAGGGAATTTTCTCAAGAATGGGTCTGACCATGCATCTATTTAGCAGGTAGCAAGCAGTATTGATTGCCTTAGCCCAGAAAATCTTAGGCAGTCCACTAGCAATTAACATGGTCCTCCCCATATCTTCTAAGGATCTATTTTTTTTCTACAATCCCATTTTATTGTGGAGTTCTAAGTGCAGAGAAATTATTGTCAATACCATGTGAGCCACAGAACTCAAGGAATTTTGAATTTTCAAATGCAGTTCCATGGTAAGTTCTTATACTTAATACATTGCACCCTAGTTTATGTTAAATCATTCTAACAAATATACAGAAAACATCAAAGTTTTCATATTTGGATTCCAAAAAGAAAGTTCAGGTATACCTGGAGAAGTCATCAACAATCACAAACACATACCTCTTACCTCCTCTGCTTCTTATTCTCATTACTCCACAAAGGTCTATGTGAAGAAGTTCCAGAGGTTTAGAAGTACTGACAACCTTTTTAGATTTAAAGGATGACCTTACATGTTTCCCTCTAACGCAGGCATCACAAACTATGTCAGAGGTGAACTCAACTTTAGGTAGCCCAAAGACCAAGTCCTTTGTTGCCAACTTGTTGAGTTGAGAGCGACTAGCATGTCTCAGTCTTCTATGCCATAATAGTGGATCATCTTCCACTACCCTCAAGAATGTGTTCTCACTCTAGGGAAGTGACATAATCGATATCTTATAAATATTGTTATGTCTCTTACCCTTTAACACAATTTCATTAGCATCAAGCTTAGTGACGGTGCAAATTTTGGAATTGAATTTTACCTCATTTCCTTTGTCGCATATTTGAGAGATGCTAAGAAGATTGTGTTTAAGACCTACCACATAATACACATCTTCTATAGAATGAGAGAGTGATTTACTAACCTTGTCAATACCTGTTATCTGGCCCTTTTTCCCATTTTCAAATGACACATTCCCTCCTTGGAAGGCTGTCGGTGAGAGGAAATTTTTCTTTTCTCCAGTCATATGTCTTGAGCATCCACTGTCTAGATACCAGTCCTGATTGTTTCCTCCCATCTTATCCTGCACCAAAATTCACAAGTTAGTTTTGGGAACCCAGACAATCTTGGGTCCCTTTTGTTGGAAAAAGGATGAATCAGATACCTTCTTGCCCCAAAGGGGAGAGGATTAGAAGCTATTTTCTTGTAACCTTAATCCACTTAGTATGGACAGGAAGATTGACCTTTGGCTCCTCTTCCTTCTTTATATTTTTAGCAATACCAAAGGTGTTTCTAAACTGAGCATGAATTAAGGCAGGACAAGCGTCCTAAAGTGTCCTACTTTTCCATAATGAGTGTACATGTTATTATCATAAATTCTTACATACTTCTAGTCAAACTTAGGGACAGATTTTCTGTAGCCAATTCCAGATTTGTTAGAGATACAGTTTTCATTCAGCCAATTCAAGTCATCAGAAGATCAATGCCATTTGCTTAGTCTTGAGAGTTCATAATTAGCCTTTTCTAGGTTTCCCTGCAGGACTTTATTTCTACATTTAGCATCATAAAGATTATATTTAGCAATTTTTAACTCCTTTTCAAGTTTATCCTGCAAATCACTCATTTTTTCCTTGCCATGTATATCAGGAGACTTCTCATTCTTAGAAGTAAGCTCAAGAACATGGTTATTAAGGTCCTTGACCTGTTTCTCTAAATTAGCTTTGTCAGATTCAAGCTCTTTGATATCAAGTTTGACACATGAAAGGTTGCTTATTAACTGATCATTTTCAGTACTCATTTTATCCATTTCATTCATTAAGGTCAGAATTATGACCATCAGTTATTTTTTGGACAAAGCATGAATGTTCTCTTTCAAGTCAATATACTTACCTGATTTGTTTCATCTTCAGTTTCTGAATTACTCATGGCCATCATCCCTATCACTTCTTCCTCTATTTTGGATTCTTCAATCGCCATCAATGCCACTTCAATGTTTTCATTTCCAAAGTCAGTTTTCAAGGTCCTCCATATATCATGAGCAGAGATGCAAGAGGATACTCTGAGGAGAGTGTTTCTGGACAAGCTTCTGTAGAGCAGATCCTTTGCTTTAGCATTTTTCTAAACTAGCTGACGATCTTCCTCATCGATTCCCCTTCTCTTTTGTTGTACTTGTTACCTTCACTATCAATTTTGGTTGGGAGAATTGGTCCATGACTGACAATTACCCATAGGTTTTATAAGTAGCCTAAAGAAATATTTCCATACGCAGCTTTCATTCATCATAGTGGTGTTCATCAAACAGAGGAGGTCTTCCAATGTGCATTCCAAGATGTACTGGGGGTTTTGTCTCCACAGCTTGGTGTTCATCAATCACAGCATAGAGACTTATAGCCTCATCCTCCTTTTCTTTCTCTTGATCACTTCCACTGTCCTCATATGCTACCAAGAAGGCATGTTTCTTGCTTCAGTAAATCCTTTGCCTAGAATTTTTCCTTTATTGGAACCTTTTTCTCTTATCTTCTCCCATTTTTCCTTTGCAGATCGTTCTTTCCTCCGCTCAATTTCCCACATAGGGCAGTCCTTGACCATGTGATCTAGCTTGTTACAATTGTAGCACCCATCATAATTAGCTTTGTCGATCTACTTAGGCTTGCTACTGGTCTCTCTTGGATGTACTTTTGGAATTCTTCATGAACCTATTGAACTTGGAAAAGATTGCTAGATCGGGATCATCATAGTCAGATTCATCATCCCCAGATGCTTTAAGAACCAAGGCCTTATCCTTCTTTGGTTCTTCATTGCGTAGTTCTATCTTTCTCATTTCATTAGTTTTTAAGTTTCCAACCAACTCATCAAGTGAGATTTTATCAAATTCCTTGGCTTCCTGGATTGCAGTGAATTTTGATTCCCATGAAGCCGGAAGGATTATTAGAACCTTACTAACCAACTCTTCTGAGGTAAACACCATTCCAAGTGATTTAAGTTCATTGGTTATTATAGTAAATCTAATCATCATATCCTGGATGGGCTCAGACTCCTTCATGGAGAAGAGCTCATAGTTTCTCATGAGTAGCTCTATCTTTGATCTTTTTACTTGGTTTGTTCCTTCATGGGTAATTTGGAGTGCATCCCATATCTGCTTCGCATTAGAGCACACAGAAATTCTATTGTACTCATCATGACTAAGTCCACAGATAAGGATTTTCTTAACCTTTGCATTCCTCTCCATCATTCTGAAATCTTGTGCCACAAATTCGGAGAGGTCCTTAGGAACTATTTCATTTTTTGCATTTTACTTAGTAGGAATGAAAGGACCTTGATTTACTATGGTCCATAGTTCAAAGTATTCAGTTGTTAGGAAGTCTTCCATTCTTGCTTTCCACCAACTGTAATATTTTTCATTGAACAGGGGTGGCCTGGTAGTTGATTGTTCTTCATTAATTCTGGGTGGAGCACTCATCTTGCTTTCAAGATCTCTCTAGGTGTTAGCTGTGTATATGAGAGAACCTGCTCTGATACCAATTGTTAGTTTGAGTGCCCGTATGGATTACTAAAGAACTTGGTTCTTTATCGTGTTACTTAAGCATGAAGTAAATGATCAATAAAATGAATACATCTATTTTTACGTGGAAAATCACCCGGCTCAAAAGGTGCAAAAATCACGACCTATCACGTAGGATTTTTAACTCCAACTCTACTAGAACAATGAGCCAAAATGTATCAATTACAAGACTGTAATTTAATACTCTCTAGTACTCCTACTACTCCTATTTGATTCATAAGTTACTCTAACTTGTAAAGCAAACACTCACCCCAACTCTTTAATTGTAAATGACACTTGATTACAACTCAATTTTCTAAAATATATTCACTAGACTAACTCAAGAAGAATACAATGCAAGTACTCGACTAGGGTAAACAACTTATGATTCTTCAGTTGATGTGTAAAAGCATAGATTCAGAAGTCCAAAATCGATCATATTTAAATGCTTCAACTTGAGATCTTCTAGGAGTCTTATTCATAGTTAGCTTCCTCTTTGATATGACTCCTATTGTTCCAAGGATTCCACAAGCTTTGGGACCTCTATCTCTGACTGAATTATCCATAGCTTTGGGACTTCTGTCTCTGTCTTGTACAGACATACAAGTATCAACATGAGGAGTTGGTCCTTTATCGTGAGAAGCTGATTTTTTCAGAACAATTAAGCAACTAAGTCGAGGACCTGGTTCTTTGGCCATTTAATTATACTTTGTTAATCATCAAAACTTCAATACACAACACTAAGGTTTGAATTTCGCCACCTTTAGGGACAGTTCCAATCAATGCCTCCAGTTTCATTAGCCTTTCCCGCAGTTCATTATTACCGTCGTCCATGTTATCAAACAGGACCAAGAAATATGCCACTGCTTGTCGTGTCTCCATCACGAACCTGATCCGCTCTGATACCAGTTGTCATGGGCTAATTTTCTATCCGTCGAAACCAGCTTACACGATAGCCAGGCCTCACGCCCAACTTCAGCCTTCTCATAACACTTGGCCAAAAATTTAGCAACTTTGGACTTAGTACATTTTTTGGCAGATTTCAACGTAGTATGTCTTAGGAACAATTTAGGCTACGAATTTAAGTAAAGGCTACAAAATATAAACAAGAACACAAATATCAATATACAGAAAACTCATTTCCCAACTTTGTATTTAACTCGAGCATACAAAGAAATTCAAACTCGAAGTGCAATGCCGTATAGAAAAGATCACTCTTGATATTCAGTTTTTCTCACAAGACAACTCATAGCCTTAGGCATTTTCACTCTTAAAAATAGACTAAGTAACTCTTTCCTAACTTTAACATGTACTCCCATACGTTTTTACAAGCATAAGGGTGTTGAACATTTATGGATCATGTAACAACCCTTTGCCTTTATCCTTGTCACTCTTAGGCTGAGACACTTGTCCCACACATCCCACTATTTTAGCCTAATATAGTTGACATCCCCCAACTACTAGGATCATGCTATGATAATGGAAATAAGGCTCCAAAAATATTCTAGTAACCACCTCCCAGATTTGAACAAAAGCCAACTGATGCCCATGTGCACAACATATGTTGTGTAACCGTCTTTGACTTTGTCAATGCTGAAGCATGCTGCCTATGTGCGTGCCTTGGATTGAATCAGGCACTAATGCCTTGCTCTCGGGTGCATTGCAGCCACATTAAGCCTTTGCCAATGCCCATGCATACTGCTCTTTGTCACGCCCCGATGTCATGACAAGTCTACCTTGCGCATGCCTTCGTTGCACTTAGCCTGCCCTTGCCCAATTCGTTTTTACCTTGCTTTAGCATCACTGCCTCATGCCTTAATGCCTTTTCCATGTCATAGTGTCACACTCAGCCCGCATCATGTTTGTTAAGCCTTACCAAGCTGCCTTGCCTCTCTTAAAGCCTTGGTCATCACTTGCTCGTTTTCCCTTTTACCTTGGTGTTAGCTCGCACACCTTAGCTTTGCAACACTCATTTTGCCTCATGACAATACTTTTGTTGTCAAGCCAAGCTCAAAGAGGTGGAACCCTAACACCTAACTCCTTTCTCTCGTTGTAAATAGTGGCAATATTTTAACTCATCTTAGCCCTCTTGAAACTGACTTGTCGGTTTTATAAACAATCTTTAAAACTCCTTCCTACTAGCTCAATGACTTTTCGTTGTAAATACGGTGGCGTAAACCCTAAATAGTTATGGGAATGCCTCAGCCTAGCATGAATTAGCCGGAGCAGAGACGGATACAAGATTTTAGAAAAATGGGTGCACTATTATGAAGAGCTGATTCCAGGATCTAAATTTTATTGGTACAACTTTTAGTTCTTAATGTTGCACATATTGCACTTTTAAAATTTATAAGTTCAAAAATAATTTTCTTTAAAAAACATATAATAATTTTCTTGCATATATATTTTTGCTCGGTGTAAAAAATATTGTGATCAGTTGAACCCATTAATTATGTACTACATCATCCATTGCTACTAGTTTTAACATAAGTATTTTGTTTAGTTAGAGGCGCATCCAAGATTTTAGGAAGATGGGTGTACTATTACAAAGATGTGAATCTAGGATATAAATTTTATGAGTTCAACCTTTACTTTTTACTATTGCACACATTGCACTTTTGAAATTATATGTTCAAAAATAATTTTCTTTAAAATATAAATTTTCTTACATCTATATTTATGCTCTGTGTCGAAAATATTGGGATCAGTTGAACACATTGACTATATGCTACATCATCCATTGTTATTAGTTTTAACATACATATTTCATTTAATCATATAAGAATTTACGGTGGCAAATAAAGAATTGCAATTTCATTATGTGAAAATTTTGAAAGAATAAACTAAAAAAAGAAAGAAAGAAAGAAAAAGAAAAATACTTAATTAATATGCAAAAAATAATATCCACATGCCCATCTTCCATGGGCACCTAGTTCTAGAAAAAGAAAAGAAAAAATAACAACTCACAACCTCATTTAAGAAATATAACATTACTATATACATGATCTAGGGGAAGAACATGAGTTCGCGTGCCCCAAGAAACTTCAAATACGCCCTTATAATAAATGACTTTTTAACCTTTGTTGTGCCCATTAAGCAAATATTGACTCCTAGAACAAAAATATATTTTGACTAAATTATCATTAATTAAAATTTATATGTTGTTAACTTGACACATAGAGATATGTAAATAAGAGCAAATTTTGAAAAAAATAAAATTAATTTCTTCTCGATTATATAAAAGGACACTTATTTTGAACCAAAATAAAAGCCAAAAAAGTCATTTTAATATGGATTGGAGAGAGTAGTAGACAAGGTTATTTTTTTCACTTTAAAATAGATTTGAACAATTAGAGGCATATGAAAATATTTTTGGTTTTCTATTTAGCGGTAAAAACTGAGATTACTAGATGATGAAAATTTGAAAAACATATTGCCTTCATCTTGAATGCTCCTTATATCATAATAAGCAACCCGATATTGATAGTTTAGATTTAGTTTCTGCATTAAAAATATTAAGAAAAACAGTACAATTAGAAGATAACAGTTTAATTGATATACTCAATCAAATAAAAAGATTTGATTATTTTCTAAATGCCTATATTACTTATAGAATAATGTTAATAACTCCTATTATTGTTGCTTCAAGGGAAAAAAGTATTTCAAAATTAAAATTGATAAAACCTTACCTAAGATCGACAATGTCTCAAATATATTAAATGAATCAGCTATATTGTTAATTGAGAAAGACTTATTAGGAGAGATTGATTATAAAAATTAATAATAACTTTGCATCTAAAGAAGTTAGAAAAATAGATTTTAAATAAAAATAAAATATTTTTTATTAATAAAAAAGTTAAGGCCCCTCATAAAATTTGGCTTTAGGCCACGAAATTGGTCGGGCCGCCCTGTTGTCAAGTAAATCATTCTTTTAAGAATTGAACCGAAACAAAATAAAACTGATGAGTATATTTTTCCACAATAGTTTAAAGAACTCTTGAATGTTATAACTTGGACCCTCTTTTTTAGTTGTACGTTCTTCATTATTCTTGATATTCAAATAATTTCCCTCGCTATGTATAGTTAAATATAATTCAAACAAATCATGATCTTGTTTTTTTTAAATATAAAAGCTGCTGTTCTTTTGTTAACGCGTATTTTCTATTTCCGTATATTTTAGTGATTAGCTGAGTCGCGTTACTATAGTAAATAAGATGTTGGGATAATAATATATTCTTTGATTTAACTCGTAGACACATGCAGATGCGTTTTTGTATCATCAATGTATTGTAAGTTTGTAACTTGATATATACAGTATGTTATTTGTTTTATTTTCTTAAATTTGTAAATTAGGTTACTATAGATAGTTACATATTGTTGCATGTGAAATTAATAATATGTCACTCGAATTATTAGTATGACTAATGACTAAATTAGTAGCTGAGTTTAGATTTTCGTTTCTTATAGACCTGTCCAAAAAAAGACCATCTATTCTGTTCTTTCAAACCACGGCAAGCACGTGATATTTTCTTAACGAAAGATAACCTTGAAGTAAAATATGATTTAAAAAAAGAGAGAGTAAAATAAGATTTAATTTATGTGATTTTCTTTAACCAATGGACGTGGAAAGCTGCCTGCATCTCGACCGCTTTGCTTTTGTGTATCAAAGTGTGTAGACTATTCTACGA